AATTGTGCGGGGTTGCTTGTGCTAAGCGTCCTAGCTCACAGTAAATTTCCCTCGGTGCAGTTTTGAACTTGTGAAGATTACAGAGCTTGATCTTTGTCGAACCACTGAGCAGAGTCTCGACTGTTCAGGCAAATAATCATTCTACATCACATGAAGCAATGCGACAGAAACGGGTCGTTTTCGTTACATACATGATTAGAGAAAGACAGTCGAACGCTCCAAAATGACCATTAATGGAACAAGAAATTGTGCAAACCTGCGCGTTTACCTGCCTACCCAATGCTTTAAAAAGGTGGAAAAAAGGTTAGAACAGGACTGACTGGACTACCAGATAGTGAGAAAGGCCCTTTACAATACTGTAGATTGTGGCAATTTGTTGCAATAAACACAAAATAAAGTAGGTAAAAGGAATTATTAAGGCACGACTGTACTTTCTATAAGACCTCATATTTCGCATTTATGCACAAACCGTGATGGTCGGTCCAATATAGGAGATTAGGTGCTTCGGAATCCTTGTAGCATCCAACATTTCCAACGCGGAAAGCCTGACGACGTTTCGCGGAACATTCGCCAACGGGAAAAATGAGAGATCATCAGGAAGAGCTAACAGCTCATCGAACTTCTCAAGCTTGAAGTTGGCTGGAAGCGAGGGGATCTGAAAAAAAAACTTTCCCTTTGCATTAGAACTCGAAACAATACGATAAAGAATCTGAAAAGTATCAACAGTACTGCGATGACTTTGCTATTCGAAGATACAACAATATGACAAAATAAATCATGGAAAATTTAAAATTCGCCTAACTAGCTTTGCAAGAGCAGGAGGCTATCAGCCAGACCAAATACAGCATGTTCTAAGCCAATCGTATAAAATGCTGAAGCACCCTATACCTTTGCTAGTTGGTGAACATCCGTAACTGCCATTTCGATGATTTTCGGATTGACAAGATATCGTGCATCGAAGAAGGGCGAAACGAGCTGCTCCATATATTGGCTTACCAATTCACTCTTAGCCTTCCACGTCAAAAGGCCACTTTTTCTTGCTTTTGCGAACCTCCAGACAATTCTGAATTTGTAGTATCATATATTTACTATCAAACAATGTAATAGAATTGGGTTTGAGAGAATCATCAGGAAGGGCTAAACAGGAGAGGGCATGTGGTACCACAGCTACTGCCGCCAGAAGTCCGATATTTAAAAGGGGATAAAATGCCCGACCTGCGTGCACCGTTTTGCTTCAGGTTTCATAATCATTCTGAGCTTCCTTCACCTTCGAAAAATTGAATAATTTTAGGGATACGAATTCTCGCACAGCCCACACTACATGCCATCTCCTCCTCATTAAATGAAATTCGTACGACTTTTGCACGAATAAAACAGGTCACATATTGACGAAAGGAGAGAGAAAGAGGATAAGCCTAACTCAGGATTACCATTTTCTCTATGAAGATTAAGACTCCCTTTTGAGCAAACATTTTACAATACGAAATCATGGGAAATCCAGTGTAACTATTCCGAAACAGAAGACAAATTTTATAAGCATAGTGTAAAAGAAAAATTTTATGAACATCAACTACGACAACGTTATAATATACCGTATTCCAGTCGTTGCGTTTTTGGCACTAATGACGAAGTTTGCTCGTCCCTCTCCACGAAGGCAAAAAGAGCGAAATTTTCGTGGATCGACGATGTCAATCATCATGTCATACTTCATTTGAACGCATAGAAGTTTAGTCTGAAATCATTATTGAAGTTATATGTTGACAAAGAACCACAAACGAAAGTCTACGTGACAGACAAAAACATAACAGTACGCGCAACAATGCAGACAGATAGATAGATTAAACAACGAGAATTCACGTGACTAAATGGCGCAATGCCAATTGCGGAGATACTTGCTTTCTCCGTTACCGCTGTCTCCCGTCTACGTCGTTTGTTGCATGCTCTTATCAGAACTTTAAAAATCACTTAGAACTAGCAGAAATAATACTAGTCACACTCATTAGCTTATAAAACGAGTTGGTAATTAGAAGTCACATATAATAATCACTTGATTCTTATGGTCCTGCCACGAATGGCGGAGACCACAGACGATTAGAGAACGGCGCCTGGCTCGGCTCCAAATCCCAAGGAGGGAGGTGAGAGCCCTAGGACTAAGCCTTGTAAGGGGAGGGACTCCGAGGTGGGTGAGCCAACTATGGCAAAAGCTTAGGTTCCACCAATATAGAATGTCATGAG